CCCCTGGGCCCATCCCCAGGCCCCATGGCCATCACCAGGTCCCCATGGCCCATCACCACATCCCCATGGCCCATCACCACATCCCCGTGGCCCATCACCAGGTCCCCACGGCCCATCAGCACATCCCCGTGGCCCATCACCAGGTCCTCATGGCCATCACCAGGTCCCCATGGCCCATCACCACATCCCCGTGGCCCATCACCAGGTCCTCATGGCCATCACCACATCCCCACGGCCCATCACCACGTCCCCGTGGCCCATCACCGGGTCCTCATGGCCATCACCACATCCCCACGGCCCATCACCACGTCCCCGTGGCCCATCACCGGGTCCTCATGGCCATCACCACATCCCCATGGCCCATCAGCACATCCCCGTGGGCCATCACCAGGTCCCCATGGCCCATCACCACGTCCCCGTGGCCCATCACCGGGTCCTCATGGCCATCACCACATCCCCATGGCCCATCACCACGTCCCCGTGGCCCATCACCGGGTCCTCGTGGTCCATCACCACATCCTCAAGGTCCATCACCACATCCCATGGCCACGTCACGTCCCATGGCCATGTCCCATGACACCTCACGTCCCATGACCACCTCACGTCCCATGACCACCTCATGTCCCATGACCACCTCACATTCCACGGCCACATCCCATCACGTCCCATGACCACCTCACGTCCCATGACCACCTCAGGTCCCATGACCACATCTTCAGTCCTGGCCACCGCCCCCATCCATGGCCACCTCTACCCTGGTGTCCTCCCTGGCCGGGGGTTGTCACCAAGGTCCTGCCATGGTCCCTTTTGTCCCCAGGGGGACTCCGGGGGACCCCTCATCTGCAACGGGGTCCTCCAGGGCATCGTCTCGTGGGGCGACCACCCCTGCGGGCAGGTGGGGAAGCCGGGGGTCTACAGCCAGGTCTACAACTACCTGCCATGGATCCTGGAGACCATAGGAGAGGACTGAGATCTCCTCGTCCCACCTGCCGATCCCACCACAGACCCACCGCCTCCACCACGGAAGCCACCAAGGACCATCTCACTCCACCACGGACAGGCTGAAGCCACCGAGAGAGGATCAACCCTACCACAGATCCACCAACACCATCACGGATGGACTGACCTCCACGATGGTTGAGTTGATGCCATCAAGGACCAATGAAGTCCACCACGGACCCACCTACCCCACCATGGACCCACCTACCCCACCGTGGACCCACCTACCCCACTGTGGACCCACCTACCCCACCATGGACCCCATCATGGACCCCACCATGTTGATCCCATCGTGGACCAAACCCACCACAGATCCCACCACAGATGGACCAACTCCATCATGGCCGGGCTGAGCCCATCATGGCTGGATTGACCCTCACCATGGACACTCCGACCCACCACAGACCCCACCATGGATGGACCAACCCCACCTCAGATCCCACCATGGGTGGACCAACCCCATCATGGATGGACCAAGCCCA